ACTATTGCAGCTTGTAGATAGTTTTTGAATGCATATTTCATGAAACACTCCATTTGATCAGATGCAAATGTAATGAATGAATTTATACACTTATTAAGTAATGCCTTAGAAAGCACAAATAAATGAAATTTGTGCTATATCAATGAGTTTAAAATGAATTTAAAATAGCTACATTAAAGATTGTATTTATCCTTTTTGCATTATTTCTGATTATGCATACAAATTTATTCATAACTAAGCATTCAAAAACAACGAAAAATCCAGCAATTTTTTTCAAAAAAAAAGCATCACAAAAGTGACATTTTTCTTTTTATTGAAAGCTTCTTTCTAAGGTTATAAAAATAGGGTTCAATACTAAAATAAGAAATTATTTAAATTTGTCCTTTCCAGTTTACTTGCAAGCCATTTATGTATTTTTCCTTCAAATGTTAGCTGAAAAACTAGCCTACTATTTAAATGATGAGAAAAATGTTCATACTATTATATTTTTGGTACTTCTTAAATTTTAAATCTGTTTCCTTTCTAACGTCATAATCAATTGTGCTTGCTAAGATGAATACATGCAATAACAGATTCCGCCTACCCTTGCATAATTTACTTTCCATTACTAGCCATAAAAGTTCACTGATAATGTGAGTTCTGCTAAAATTTGATAAATGGAAGGTGACACTGAAAAAAATAAATATGCTGCTGTTCTCAAATATTCAGAATATTTGCTCCGTTCCACGCCATTTTTTATCTATTTTTATTTTCCTAAACAAGTTTGAATGTAACATACTGTTATTTTTTATAACCAGCCTATGATTTCATTGTAAATGTCACATACTTCTTCAAAACATTTGCCCTTGATAAAGGTAACTTTATTTAACAAATTTTTTGTATTTTTGTGATTCACTTAGCAAAACATTTATGCTTTTACTTTTTAGCTTTTTGCTATAATCTAATTTGAAAATGTAATTTCCTTCATCCTTATAAATGCTATGCTATAAATGGCGTACATTTGAATTGATTGCAACTTATTATTATTATATAATTCTCATCAGTATTTATTTCATGGATTATGTTAGCTCAAAAAGTAACCTAAAGTCTTTGATCATCACTATCTTTCAGTACAACTATTATTATTTAAATGACTTTAATCAAAATTAACTCTAATAATTGCTCTATTACTTTTTGATATATGCATTTTGTTATATGAATACAACGTTATTACCTGATTAGTTTGTTTTTTATTTGACTTCAACTATTGGTTGGAGTAAAGCAATAAAATAATGTTATTGACTTTTCATATGTCAGCTTTTCTTTTTCAGCCATTAAAAATATTTAA